AGTTCCGTGGGGTCATAGTCTTTGTCCTCCACTCTCCAGAGAAAACGGTCCAATGTGAGTAACTTCTGGAATGTTCCGAGTCCCTGTCCTACGGTAGCCTGGAAAAAAATTTCCCCATCTCTGACTGACCTGCAAGACCCAGGCTTGCAGAATCCCAGGAGAAGATGGGGACAGAAAAGCTGGGCTGGAGCAAAGCAGGGCCCCGCTGACTGCACGAGCCCCACGGAAATTCTCCAAGTGCAGAAGCCTGATTAATTAATTAGAATGCTAATCGATTAAGGAGCAGGGAGAAATGGAGGCAGCGAGCACTTATTACTTTCCGAGAGAAGAAGCCACCTTGGGAAAACAGCAAAGGGGCTTCGGTGGTGGGACGTGTGGAGTCAGAGACATGTGAGTTGTAGGCTCCTTGGGATGGGTCCCTTTCAAATGTGTGCTTTGTGATTAAAATAGAGATATTGCCCAGTGGGAAGCTGCCTGCCAGCTATTCGAGAGCCCCCTCTTCTGGACACCGCTGGTACTACACTTCCCCTGCGCAGTGTGCCCAAATCCTGAGGCTTTTATTAGGACACCCCATTCTTCATTTCAGTCTTCTGTAATAAAGTCAGGGCTTGAAAATTATGATTTTTTTCAGCTGATGACAGTATGCACCACTGCTTCCTAATACATGGAGGCCTTCTGCAGGTCACAGGCATAATCACGGTGTCATTTTGGGACCTGTGACTAGTTCACTAGTATCTTTCAGCATCCTTGTCTCAGTCCCTGAGATCAAAAGGAAGAATATTCTCCCCAACGTTCAGGTGAAAGAATGAAGATGCAGCCAAGTAACAAGTACCTTGTTCAGAAATTTGTCGTATCTTCCTAGCCCATAGCTTTAACGTCTGCCGGTGTGTCTGAGTCCCCATGGGTGGCTAACCCTTCTCACAGTGATTATCATTATTCCAGAGGGCATCACTTCCCGGCCTTATATCAGTATTTGGGGTACTGGTGGAAAGGGGAGTCTTTCTTACTTTTCCACCCAAAGCTCTTTGTGGATTTTTGAGGACAAGCTTACTTTCACCCAGGATGATATTGCTTTTTTATTAAGCTTATTTATTTATTTTGAGAGAGAGAGAGAGAAAACCAGCAGGGGAGGGGTAGAGAGGGAGAGGGAGACAGAGAATCGAACACAAGGCTCAAATTCACGAACCGTGAGATCAGGACCTGAGCCGAAGGCGGACTCTTAACCGACTGAGCCACCCAGGTACCCCCTGGGTGGCTGTGATTCATAAGTCAGTTTCCTAAAGTGCTTTGCTAAAGGTGATTTCGTGTACACATTTGAAGGAACTTTCTTATGATTCCATCTCAAGATGAGATTATATCCTTTCTTTTTTGGATTAAGTTTTTTTTAATTCATTTTTTTTTGGGGGGGAGGGGCAGAGAGAGAAGGAGACACAGAATCCGGAGCAGGCTGCAGGCTCTGAGCTGTCAGCACAGAGCCCGACACGGGGCTCGAACCCACGAACCTTGAAATCATGACCTGAGCCGAAGTCAGACACTTAACCAACTGAGCCCCCCAGGCGCCCCGAGACTGTATCCTTTCTTAGGCCACCTGTTGGCTTTAGCTTCAGAAAGCATCCTCACTGACACGCAGGCTTACCTCTTCCTCTGCGCTGGGAAGGAAGTGATCCTGGGGCCCCTTCCAAGTTTCACGACTCCCCTTCTAGAGCGATGTGCTTGTAGGAGATCGGGTGGATAGACGCCTTAATGCCCCAGCATCTCTTTGCACGTGGCGCCTTTGCGCTGTTGTATTTCTGGGATCCGAGAAAGCCCGTCAAACAGACCCTCCTCGGGATCTATCCGTGACGTCAAGCCGTCCCTGTCCCCACCACCTAAAGCTCGTGCGGTCTCTCCACCCCCTTTGCAGTCCAAGTCCTTGAGCGACAGTAAGAACCGCCACAAAAAGCCCAAGGACCCCAAGCCCAAGGTGAAGAAGCTCAAGTACCACCAGTACATCCCTCCGGACCAGAAGGCGGAGAAGTCCCCTCCGCCCATGGACTCGGCCTACGCCCGGCTGCTCCAGCAGCAGCAGCTCTTTCTGCAACTCCAGATCCTCAGCCAGCAGGAGCAACACCGGCTCAGCTACCCCGGGGTCCACCCAGCACAGCTCAAGTATGTCGGGAGCCCGGGGAGCGGGGAGGGGGCAGGCGCCGGCTGGCCAGGGCTTGTCTGCCTCTGAGGCATCTGCTGCCCAGCACCAGGGAGGGCGCCCAGCGAGTCCGGGACTGCCCGCGGTCCTGGTCGGGCGGACTGGGAACGGGATCGGGACCCTGTGGAGAGCCGTGCCCACCTGCTGAGGAAGCTGAGGCTCGGAGAAAGCAAAGAAATCAGTGCCCTGGTTACAGGGACCTGGGGACGAGAGGAGGGATTAGCACTCTCAGACTGAATTGTGAAACAGAGAGGTGAAACCATCTGAGAATGTCCGGGTTTTTTTGTTTTTTTAATAATTGATTTTTTAAGGTGTATCCATTTATTTTTGAGAGAGAGGGAGAGCTCAGGGGAGGGGCAGAGAGAGAGAGAGCAAGAAAGAGAATCCCAAGCAGGCTCCACGCTGTCAGCGCAGAGCCCGATGCGGGGCTCGAACTTACGACCCTGAGATCATGACCTGAATCAAAAGGAAGAGTCCACGCTTAAGCTTGAGCCACCCAGGTGCCCCATGAGAATGGTTGGTGGAGTTAGTTCAGCCCTTAGGAAGCAGCAGCACTGAGGGGCTCAGTGACAGCCCCGAAGGTTGACTCCTGGACCCTGATGGGGGTGAGTGACCTCACCTCAGGGCACCTTTTAAATGGGCATGGCTTGCAACTCTACAGGTGGGATGTGGTGGGTTCCCTCACCTGGCTTTGTTCAGCCTCCCGTCAGGTTGCTGAGTTCTGGTTACAGTCCTGCTTTACACGGCGTGGCCGTGCCCCCAGGGGACAGTGGGCCCGTGGACGTGGACATGCACTCTCCCTTTTGCCAAAGTCTCCACCTCTCCCTCCTGTCTCCCCAGAACTCAGCTGGCATGTCCCTTGTCTCTTGGCATGCATGGAGCCTGTACTGCTGTCTTCCTCACCCAGCCTCTCCTGCTGATTTCTCTTTCCCGGTCCTTGCAGGCAGTTAGCTCGTGACCCAATCCCAATGCAAGTTGCCCAATCGGGGTTCTGGCCACGTCATCCCAATGTGCGGGGGGAGGCTTTCCCCACATGGCCACGCACCAACTGGGCGCCCCATCGTTCCGCTCAATCCTGGCACCATCGACCAGGAGAGAGTGTCAGGTTTAAGGGCTCAGTTCTACAAGACCGCCACGCCCCTCCCCCCACTTCAGGTGCCACTCGCAAGTCTAGAAGTTGTGACCTGGGCTTCTGGTTGACCCGGCCAGAGGTCAGAGGTGCCCATGATTTCCTCTCTGGGTTCGATTAATTTGATTAATTTGCAGAGTGGCTCGCAGAAATCAGAGAAACACCTGACTTCCTAGATCACTGGTGTATGATAAAAGGGTAGGAGTCAGGAGCAGCCAGAGGGAAGAAAGGCCCAGGGCAAGGGATGTGGGAAAGGGTGGGGAACTTCCTGCCCCTCCAGCACGCTACTCCCCTGTCTCCGTTCTCCGTGTGTTCACCAACATGGAAGCTCTCTGAACTCCATTCTTTTAGGTTTTATACAGTCCACGTTATAAGCATGAATGATTAAATCATTGGCCATTGGTGAATGGCCTGACCTCCAACCACCATCTTGTCTCCTTAGAGGTCAGGGGGTGGACTGAAATTCCCCCCACAAACCATAGTGTTGGGTCTTAGGCAATCAGCCACCCTCCTTCCATGACCTAGGGGCTTTCACAGAGTCGCCTCCTTAACATAACAAGTGGTACCTTTGTGGCTCTCCTCACTTAGCAAATTCCGAGGATTTGGGGAGCTCTGGGCCAGGAAGAGGGAAGAGGGCCAAATATGGAATTTCTTATTGAGCATCACAGTATCATACCCCCATATGTACATCTGGTCGTATTTTAAGGGCTTTTCTTTTGTTTCCTTTTCAGGGAACCCAACGAACAGATGGTCAGAAATCCAAACTCCACTTCAGCTCCACTGAGCAACACCCCTTTGTCTCCCGTCAAAAACAGCTTTTCTGGACAAACTGGTATCTCTCCTCTCAAACCAGGTCCACTGCCATCCAACCTAGATGATCTGAAGGTAGAGGATTTGGTGTGATTTTCTTCTCTCTCTCTCTCTCGACAAATACAACAGATTTTTTTAAGTGTTTATTAAGTAATCTCTGCACACAACGCAGTGTTCAAACTCACAACCCCGAGATCAAGAGTCTCATGCCCCACCGACTGTGCCAGCCAGGCACCCCAACAAATACATCAGTAGATTTTTAACACCATTTTTACCAACCGATTTCTTGAATAAAACAGCGAGAGGGAAAGCATATGGGGGCGATTCAAGTAGGTGACAATTTTATTTTTAAAATGTATTTATTTATTTTGAGAGAGAGGAAGACTCATGAAGTGTGAGAGCATGACCTAAGCTGAAATCCAGAGTTGGACGCTTAACCAAATAAGCCACCCAGGTGCCCTTCAAGTAGGTGATGGAATTTTCACTGCCGTGGCTGAATATCCCTCCATAGCTCAGAAGACCTTGAGCTTCCAACTCAGTTCTTTTACTGGCTATGCAACCTTGGGCCACTTACGTAATTTCTTTACCTCTTAGATTGCTCCTTTGCATAAATGAATTCTTGTGAGAACCCGATGGAATCCTATATACGTGATAGAGCTTAGCACCAAGAGGAGTTTTAGGATTGACATGGGCTTCCAGAATGCTCTAAGCCAGTGGTCAATTCCTTGATGAACTCTTACGGCCTCTGGTGAAATGAGAAAAATAAGAACCACATAAAGGGCTTTTCATAAATCTAAGTGCATTCAACATACCTGATTGATCTTTATTCCAAGTATTTCTTTCCTCCAGATGTTTTCAATGCTAACGATCCTTTCTTCTGGGAACGGTGGCTGTAGTGGGGGGAAGTTGGGTATTTCTGGGGGAGTTCTGTTCTTTGTATTAAGCAGGCATATTGTTACATAAGGATGTTAGTCTTGTTTAACAAGGTGAGATGTCGGCACCCCTTTGTCCACTGCGTAACTGAAAACAATGTACTGTTTTATGAAATGCCCAAATCTGAGAAGCTCTGCCCTGAAATGTCACAGCCACTTGTTAAATGCTGTATGTGTGTGTGAGAGAGAGGGCAGTTCACTCCGGATCACAGACCTCACGGACCTCTCAGTTCACTGAAATGACCTTGGGGTTTGAGTTGAACCTGGTGCGTTTCAGAGCAGCGCTCAGGACTGGCATATTCATACAGTCATTCATCCAGTATTAGCAAAAGAACTAAGGAAGGCAATTGAAGTACCGTCGATTCCTGTCATGTGTGAACTCACCTTCTCTCCCTCCCCCCCCCCCCCAACCAGTGCCTCACTCCATTTCCTGTGGTCACACCTGTTGGCCCACTTATAAGTCTCTCCCCTCCCCCAAGGATCTTATCATTTTTCCCCAATGGCCCCCATGGCCTTCCTATAGGTCCCCATGGCCTTCACTGTACCAGTCTTTCTCAGTCCCCATTTGTCTCCCTCCTCCCCATTCTCAGCCTTTGGTCATTCTCTGCTCTGAGATCAAGGCAGGATTGGGATTATTTTGAATTAAAATAAATTAATTCTCTGGCTGCCAACAGCCAACACCAGTCAATAAACTGTGTTGGGTCTTGATATCAGTCGCTCCTCTGTCCCTTCCACTTGGACTAAAAATGCTTAGGTTTCACTGAGCTTGTTTTAATTTTGTATCCATAAACCTGGAAGAGGGTGCCACGCTTGTGATAATGCGCCTCTGAGCAGTGGGGCCACCCACCCTTCGCTCCCCACATCATAAATCCACAGAGGTCAAAGTAGGTCCTGTTACCTAGCAAACAATATACTAAACGCAGTAAGCCAGACACAAAGGGACACCTTTTCTTTTTTTTTCTTTTTTTTTTTAAATGTTTTTTATTTATTTCTGAGAGAGAGAGAGACAGTGTGAGCAGGGGAGGGGCAGAGAGAGAGGGAGATACAGAATCTGAAGCAGGCTCCAGGCTCTAAGCTAGCTGTCAGCACAGAGCCCGACGCGGGGCTCGAACCCACGAACCATAAGATCATGACCTGAGCCAAAGTCGGACGCTTTACTGACTGAGCCACACAGGCGCCCCAAAGGGACAACTTTTCTATGAGCCTGCTTTATGGGAGGTACCTGGAGAAGTCAAATTCATAGCGATAGAAAGTCCAATGGTGGCTATCAGGGCCTAGGGAGAGGAGGTTCGTGGAGTCAGCGTGTAACGGATACGTAGCCTGTGTTTGCGATGAGGAAAAAGTCCTGTAGACGGATAGTGGTGATATTTGCACAACAGCGTGTGTACTCACCCCACTGAACTTCACACTTCAAAGTGATTAAATGGTAACAATGTATGCTGTGCATCTTTAACCACAATAGAAAAGATTTTTCTTAAAAGTAGTCTACCTTGGGATGGGAGCCTGGGTCAGGTAGATCTGGAGTTGCCTTGGCCCCAGACAAAACACAGTCCAGGTGTGATATGCCACCTGGCAGATTCTCCAGAGACGATCTCAGCGATGCACATGCACTCAGAACTATTGGCGGGTTAGAGTTGTAGTAATTGGCATGGGAACAATGAAGCTACCATTTTTTAGTGTAAACTATCAATCGACCATCCTGTATAGATCCGCTTCCATAGTCATCGTGCAAGATACGTTTTATTTTTTTTTAACTTTTTTTTAACGTTTATTTATTTGTGAGAGACAGAGAGACAGAGCATGAGCAGGGGAGGGACAGAGAGAGAGGGAGACACAGGATCTGAATCAGGCTCCAGGCTCTGAGCTGTCAGCACAGAGCCCGACGCAGGGCTCAAACCCACTGACCGCGAGATCATGACCTGAGCTGAAGTCGGAGGCTTCAGCTGAGCCACCCAGGCGCCCCGCAAGATACGGTTTAAATGCGGACATACAAATCAGGACCTCAGAGAAGCTAAATGAATAATGCATCACTCATTATCATCCTAGATATTAATGATATCTACCTGTGTCGTGAATGCTACACAATGGTTTTCTACATAGGAGAAAGATACTGTTAATAAACCTAATACCAAACCTAACAGCACAGGTAAGGGAAGTGAAAGAAATATGTTAGTTCCATCAGAACGTAGGTGAACACGTAAATCTTTGATCTCCCTGAAGTTTCTCCCTCACCTGTAGAAGCCATCCCCATTTCATTTGGTCATTTGACAGCTTTGTCTGGTGTTTCCGGAGCCCACAAGTAAATCCAGAATGCCAACATCTAAAAACAGACTTAAATCTCCTCCTTCAGAAGCCTGAGAACCTTGAAAAGTATAAATAAGTTTGGTAAATTCGTGGGATTTCGTTTTCATTTCTCGGGTAACATTGATTTGCATATTTTAAAAAATTAAAGCAGGAAGCCTAGAGTTATATCTGGGAGACATAGGACATTATCATATCAACTTAACATCCCGACGTGGACTGATACCTTATTGTAAGTGAATAAACGTCTTACTTACCCACCCCCAAAAGAGACTAAATGCTATGCAGGTTAACCAGCTTGTAAATGATGAGACTGGGGTTTGAACTTAAGTGAGGGATATTTTTGTCTTTTTAATTTAATTTGAAATTCCAGTGTAGTTAACCTGCAGTGTTATGTTAGTTTCAGGTGTACAATATAGTGATTCAACGGTTCTGTACATCACCGTGTGCTAATCACGACAGGCGCACTCCGAAATCCCCATCACCTATTTCCCCCATCCCCGGGACGCATTAGTTGATTCTCTATAGTTAAGAATCTGTGTCTTCCTTTGTATCTCTCTTTTTTTTTTTCTTTTGCCTTTGTTTGTTGTTTCTTTTTTTTTTTTAATGTTTTATTTATTTTTGAGAGATAGAGTGTGAGCAGGAGAGGGGCAGAGAGAGAGGGAGACACAGAATCCGAAGCAGCCTCCAGGCTCCGAGCCGTCAGCACAGAGCCCGACACGGGGCTCGAACCCACGAACCATGAGATCATGACTTGAGCGGAAGTCGGAGGCTTAACTGACTGAGCCACCCAGGCGCCCCCGTTTGTTTCTTTCTTAAATGCCACATATGAGTGAAATCAAAAGGTAGTTGTCTTTCTCTGATGGACTTATTTCACTTTGCCTTATACTCTCTAGCTCCATCCATGTCATTGCAAATGGCACAATGTCAATCTTTTTTATGGCCGAGTAATATTCCAATGTATTTATACACCACCTCTTCTTTATCCATTCATCTATCGCAGACACTTGGGCTGCTTCCATAATTTGTCTGTTGCGAATAATGCTGCTATAAACATAGGGGTGCATGGATCCCTTTGAATCGGCGCTTTTGTGATTTTTGAATAAATACCCAGTAGTGCCATTACTGGATCGTAGGGTGGTTCTATTTTTAATTGAGTGATTTCAGATGTTTTGCTATTGTCATTCGAGATGAGGGTGGAAAAGGGGAGGGACAGATGGAGAAACCTTAACTGAACTTGACCACTGGGTGTCTAGGGGGAGGAGTCACCTGAGACTGTGACACCAGGGGCCGAAACCGGGAGGGCAGAATGGGGATCTGATCTGAAGGGATGTTGGCAAGTGGAGTTTGGGGAAACCGAGTCACGGGTACCACCAGGACAAGCAAGGGAAAGCGTCTAGCCAGTTTCCACTCAGAAACACACCGCCCTTGTTCAGCTCAACTGTGCTGTCAGGCAAGGCACAGAAATTTTGGAAACTAAACATTTAAGAAAGGCTGGGGCGGGGGGCACCTGGGTGGCTCAGTTGGTTAAGCATCTGACTTCGGCTCAGGTCATGATCTCACAGTTCTTGAGTTCGAGCCCCGCATCGGGCTCTGTGCTGACAGCTCGGAGCCTGGAGCCTGCTTCAGATTCCGTGTCTCCCTCTCTCTCTCTGCCCCTCCCCTCTTGTGGTCTCTCTCCCTCTCTCAAAAATAAATAAACATTAAAACAAATTCAGAATTGTTTGCATAGTGGGGCAGGTTAAAATACCAGACACACCGAGAAGGAGAGCAAATGGGAAGAGTGGGAGGGAAAGGAGAGAAGAGGAGTAAAGGAAGCAGGTGACATAATCACATCTTGGAAAAAAGGAGTCAGAGGAATTAATAAAGGGGACCCTTAAAACAGGTAATCAGAAAGATAAGGTCACAAAGGTAGATGTTCTCCCAAAATGCTCACATTTTTCTGAATAGGAGTGAAAGGGGAAAAGCAGTGAGAAAAGAGTTTGATTTCTCATTAGAAACTGACTGGGTGGCTCAGTCAGTTAAGCATCCGACTCTTGGTTTCGGCTCAGGTCATGATCTCACAGTTCGTGGGATCGAAGCCTGCATTGGGCTCTGTGCTGACAGCCTGGAGCCTGTTTAGGATTCTCTCTCTTCCTCTGCCCTTCCCCTGCTCATGCTCTCTCTCTCAAAATAAATAAGTAAACTTTAAGAAAAAAAAAAGTTATACATGCTAACATCACAGTATATGCATTTTTTTTTTTTTGCATCTTGTTTCTAACAAACTGGAGAGCCAGAGAGAGAGAGAGAGAGAGAGAGAGAGATGGGAAATTTAAAAACTGGGAAAATATGATCGATTTTATGAAAGAATTGTTCATGCATTTTATTTTGTTGTTGTTGTTGTTTTATTTATTTCTAGGAGAGAGAGAGAGAGAGAGCGTGAGCAGGGGAGGGTCAGAGAGAGAGGGAGTCATAGACTGAAACAGGCTCCAGGCTCTGAGCTGGCAGTCAGCACAGAGCCCGACGCGGGGCTCGAACCCACGAACCGCGAGATCATGACCTAAGCGAAAGTCGGACGCTCAACCGACTAAGCCACCCAGGCGCCCCTCATGCATTTTAGTTCTGATAATGGTCTTTTATCTGTGTGTTTTATTAAATGTACTTGCTTTTTAGAGAAAGGTATCAAAAATGTTTCAGATTATAGGATTTGCTTCAACATAATTCAGGAAATGTGGAAATGGTTTGGGATGTTAAAGGAATCAAGATTGAGCATGGATTGGTTGTTGTTGAAGCTGGTTGATGGGTACGTGGGGTTCATTGTAATTTAAAATTTTATCCACTTTTGTGGACGTTCGAAATTTTTCATACTCCATGGTTGAAAGAGTTTTCAGGGAATAAAAGACCCATGAACGTAGGAAAGAGATGCATACAAACCTTTGTCCCAACCAAGGCCACACAGCATAATATTCTGAAATATAAGGTAAACTGAACTCAACATATGAGCTGCATTATTTAATGATGGAGTTTAAAATACTCAAAGCCAGAACAGATTCTAAAAATAAACGTAGAAGTCATTAAATTTAAGGAATTCAAACTTAAAACAATAATGGGTTGCCATTTCACATTTTTTCAAACCAGCAAATCCGAAAGAAAATGATAAAAACAATACCAGGAAGAGGAAGGGGAGAGGTACATTTATTGCCTGTGGTAGTGTGAGTTGTGGTAATCCTTTTAAAATAGCTTTTAGGGGCGCCTGGGTGGCTTAGTTGGTTAAGCGTCCAACTTTCACTTAGGTCATGATCTCGCGGTTTGTGGGTTCGAGCCCCACGTCGGGCTCTGTGCTGACTGCCAGCTCAGAGCCTGGAGCCTGTTTCAGAGTCTGTGACTCCCTCTCTCTCTGACCCTCCCCTGCTCACTCTATCTCTCTCTCTCTCCTAGAAATAAATAAAATATTTAATAAATAAATAAATAAATAAATAAAATAGCTTTTAAGGGGCGCCTGGGTGGCTCAGTTGGTAGAGCATCCAACTTCATTCAGCTCAGGTTATGATCTCACGGTTCATGAGTTCGAGCCCCGCATCAGGCTCAGAGCCTGGAGCCTGCTTCCGATTCTGTGTCTTCCCTTCTCTCTGCCCCTCCCCTGCTCATGCTCTGTCTTTCTCTGTTTTCTCAGTAATAAATAAATGTTAAAAAAAATAACTTTTAAGTGATGATAAAGTAATATATTTACTATTGAAGCATGATGGTGTATAGAAAAGTAAAGGGCATTTTAAAAGATAATTGAGGGGCACCTGGGTGGCTCAGTTGTTAAGCATCTGACTTTGGCTCAGGTCATGATCTCACAGTTCATGAGTTCGAGCCTCACTTTGGATGAGCTCTGCTTCTCTCTCTCTCTTTCTTTCTCTCTCTCCCTCTCTGTCTCTTTGCCCCTTGCTTTCTCTCTCTCTCTCTTAAAGAAAAAAGATAATTTTGACATGTAGCATTGAAGATCATGTTTCCTTATAAGCTTCAAATGCAGATGGACACATTTTGTTTTAAAAGTTATTGTTGCAAAGTAATTCTGTGAGCATGAATTTCCAGCGTGCTTTTTTGTTTAACATATTTTGAGCATTTGTCATAACTTTGAATATTCAACTAACATTTTTATTTTTATTTTTTATTATTAGTTTTTAATCTTTATTTATTTTTAAGAGACAGAGAGAGTACGAGCAGGGGAGGAACAGAGGGAGAGGAAGACACAGAATCTGAAACAGGCTCCAGGCTCTGAGCTGTCAGCACAGAGCCCGACGTGGGGCTTGAAGTCACGGACCGTGAGATCATGACCTGCGCCGAAGTCAGACACTCAACTGACTGTGCCACCCGGGGGCCCCTCATTTTTATTTTTATAGCAGCATATAATTCCACCACCTAGTTAACATTCCTCTGTTGGCCACTTAACTTGCTTTCCAAATCTTTGCTATGAAAAATATAATTTCTACATACATTTATGAATTCCTCTGATATCTCCCCAGGCTGAATACATGGGAGCGGAATTCATGAACCAAAACATATTATGATTTCTTTGTGCACCTGAGGGGCTCAGTCGGTTGAGCCTCCCACTTCGGCTCAGGTCACAATCTCACAAGTCCGTGAGTTCGAGCCCCGCGTCGCGCTCTGTGCTAACAGTGTCTCTCTCTCTCTCTGTCTGCCCCTCCCCTGCTCTTATTCTGTCTCTCTCTCTCAAAGGTGAATAAATGTGAAACACACACACGCATGCACACACATCAGTATTTCTTAAAATTCTTGCCGAAGAATTCATATTGTGAAATTTCCATATGAATGTTTGTGCCGATCTAGTGCCAGAAGCGCTGTGCTAAGGCAGCACTTCTCAGACATAAATGTGCACACCGAATCACCTGGGGCTCGGGACAAAATGTGGGTTCTGATTCAATAGGTTCTGGGGAGGGGATCTGAGCGTCTGCATTTCTAACACGTTCCCAGATGCTGTCGTTGCTGCCGGCCCCAGGACCACACTCGGAACAGCAAGGTTTTTAAAGAGCTTTCTTTACAAACATTTTTATTTGAGGGGCACCTGGCTGGCTCTGTCGGTTAAGCGTCAGACTCCTGATTTCGGCTCAGGTCACAATCTCTCAGTTCGTGGGTTCAGGCCCCGCATTGGGCCCTGCGCTGATGGTGCGGAGGCTGCTTGGGATTCTGTCTGTCTTTCTCTCTCTCCCTCTCTCTCTCTCTCTGCCCCTCCCCCGTCTCAAAATAAATAAATAACTTAAAAATATAAAAGTAAAAATTAATTAATTTAAAAAATACACATTCTCTGTCCCCCGAGCCCAGCCCCAGTGAAGCAGAAACTCAAGGCTGGGGCCGGGCTGTCTGTGCTATGGTCTGAGGCAAAGCCAGGGGTTCGAGCCCCTGCTGAGGCTGGAGAATCGGGACAGAGAGAGCCTGGTAGCCAGAGCGTACTCTCCACGGAGGGGGAGACCGGGCTGAGCCTCCACCTGCTGCAGGATGACGGATTGCCAGCTGATGGCCAAACCCAGCAGAGATCAGTCTTCCCGTCTGTAAAATGGGGCCAAGGACCAGGCCGGGGCTTGGGGGAAGGGCAATAGAGTAGGTGAGCCCTGTGGTTCATGTGAGCGCTGCATTTCTAGGATGCTGGGATGGTTCCTTAAAGCTCATGTAATAAGTTTAAAAAATAATAGTAAACCGCGGTCCCCACACAGCTCGCTAAGCGCGCCCCGGTGTCTCTGCAGGTCTCGGAGCTGAGACAGCAGCTTCGCCTCCGGGGGCTGCCGGTGTCCGGCACCAAGACGGCGCTCATGGACCGGCTGCGGCCCTTCCAGGACTGCGCCGGGGCCCCCGTGCCCGGCTTCGGGGACATCACGACGGTCACCTTCCCCGTGACGCCCGCCGGCGCGCTGCCCGGCGGCCTGTACCGCTTCGGCAGCACCAGCTCCAGCCCCCCGATGTCGCCCGCCTCGTCCGACCTGTCGGCCGCGGGCTCCCTGCCCGACGCCTTCGGCGACGCGTCCCCGTCGCTCTGCCTGCACGCGTCGCCGGCCCCCGCGGGCGCCGAGGACGCGCCCCCCGGCGGCCTGGGCGGGGGCCCCCCGGGGGGCGCGGAGCTGGACGCGCCCGACGCCGAGAAGGACAAGATGCTGGTGGAGAAGCAGAAGGTGATCAACGAGCTCACCTGGCGGCTGCAGCGCGAGCAGCGGCAGGTGGAGGAGCTGCGGCTGCAGCTGCGCCAGCACAAGCGGGGCCAGGGCGCCCCCGACGCGCCCCCGCCCTTCCTGGTGAAGCAGGAAGACGCGGCGGCCAGCTGCGCCTTCGCGCCCCAGCCGCGGCCCGGGCAGAGACTCGGCCCCGAGGGCCCCGCGCCGGCCGCCGGCCGCCGCGCCCCGGGCCCCGCCCCCTGCGAGGCCTCGGGGCCCCCCGACGCCCTCCCTTCCACCTTCCTCAGCCCGCAGTGCTCCCCGCAGCACTCGCCGCTGGGCGCCGTCAAAAGCCCCCAGCACATCAGCTTGCCCCCCTCCCCCAACAACCATTACTTCCTTCCCCCCTCTTCGGGGGGCGCGCAGGGAGAAGGCCACAGAGCCCCCTCCCCCGTGGGCAGCCAGGTGTGTGCGGCACAGGTAAGGACACCCGCTTTCGGGGAGCGGGGTGGGGCTTGGCGAGGGCTCAGGACTGACGTTGGAAGTCTCCCTGGGAAGGGTTTCTCCAAAGCAACCTCCAGACTGGCCACAAGCCTCCAGGGTAGACCCCGCTCCCCTCTCTGAAACCGAGGTTGGCTAACTCGCCCCACGGAGAGCTGGTTAATGAGTGTCTTGGCTTTCTGGGCCATGTTGGTCTCAACAGGAGCCTTGTTTCACCAACACACACGCCCGCAAGTGAGTGCACGTGGCTGTGTTCCAATAAAACTTTATTTATGAAAGCAGGTTGGTGGGCCAGATTGCCACAACCCCCCTTTTCGGCATAGAGCCTTACCGCAGGCCAAACCAATTCATGGAGAGAGCCAAGGGGAATGTTACCAGACCTTGCTGTTCTCTCCGCGTAAGGGCCTGCACAGCGCAAATATTTACTGAGCACCTAGTGTGTGCTAGTCGCTGTCCTGGTCTCTGGGGAGTAATGCCGAACTAGCCAAACAAAAAACTCTACTCTCATGGGGAGGCGGACAGTAAATAAACACGTAAAATATGTAACGTAGTAGAAGATGATACATCTGATGGAGTAAAAGGAAGGTGGGGTGGTGAAACATTTGCAAATGTACAACTTTTAAGTCAAAAGGTCCAGGACTATTTGAGCAAATCTTCGAAGGAAGTAAGGGAGAGAAAGCCTTGTGAATATTCGGGGTGAAGGTATCACAGGCAAAGGAAGAACAGCAAGCCTAAGGGCTCTGAGGTGGGAGAATGTGTGGAATGTTCAGGAGTCAGAAGGAAGGCCCATGTGGCCAAAGCAGAAGGAGATGTAGTTGTAGACAGCTTACAGGAGTAACTAGTTCAAAGGCTAGACCAAGGTGATCATCAGACTTGCCTTGTCCGTGAAGGTAAAGAATTATTGGGAAAATCTACCAAAGTCTACCTCATCCAAAGTTCTGACATCTATGGGAAAGGAAGTAGGAAGAAAACTCACATGATTGGATACCTACCACGTGACCAGCGTTAAGAGGCACCCATCTGAGTAATCTCGTTAATTGTCACAACAACCTTATTGAGCTCTAATTTGTTATTTTTTATTTGCCACTGGGGGGGGGGAGGGGAAATGGCGCTCAAGATTAAATCAAGTACCCAGGATTCTTCAAACCCAAGGTTATCTGATTCTAAAGTGCATGCCCTTTTCACACTGAATATTTTCTACCCCGGGAGTATGAGGTGTGGTCAGAAGTAGTGAGAATATGTTCTTATACACCTCCCAGAACAACACACTCAAGTGAATGATGCCCACTCAGAAGTGGGCACTCTGGGAGGCTGGGACGTACCCAGATTATCGTCACCGTTGAAAGCGTTTACTGAGCGCGTGGTATCCTAGGCAACAGAGGTAAAAATAGCTCTTGAAACGTAGCTCTGGACCCTAAGATCATTCCAACGATACGGATATACGCTCAAGAACTAACGTGTGTGCGGTGATTCTCAGTTTACAAAGCACTTGTTGAGGTTATGAACAGTTACGTGATAAATAGATAAAGAACAATATAGGATAAAGTGCCTGGTCTGGGCTTATGGCAGTTAAAGGCTGCACGAAGCAATGGGGAAGGCGAGGGAAGCAGATTGGTTGCAAAGGTCTAGAAAGTTCTGGCAAGATTTTGCAAAGGGGTTGGACTCAATGAGAAGTAGACTTAAAAATGGAAAATCGGGGGGCACCGATTTTGGTAGCTCAGTTGGTTAAGTGTCCGACTTTGGCTCAGGTCACGATCCCACAGTTCGTAGGTTCGAGCCCTGCATCGCACTCTGTGATGACAGCTCATAGCCTGAAGCCTGCTTATGATTCTGTGTCTCCCTCTCTCTCTGTCCCTCATGCTCTGTCTCTCTCTGTCTCAAAAATGAATATTTTTGAGAGTGAATACATTAAAAAATTGTTTTAAAAAGGGAAAGTTGGGAAAAGAACGTTCCATGTGGGAAAAGGTAGGGAGGTACCATGTGCAGGGTACCCTGAGGGAAGTTCGTGGAAGTTACTAGAATACAAGCTTTTGAAAGAAATAGTACCTGACATGGTTACGGGTGGAGACCATATGCTGTGAATGTTTTTGAGCAGGAGGTGATGTGCACAAAGCCAGATTTGAGACGTTGATCATGGGATTTAGGGAGGGTTCAAAAAGCTAAAGCTCCAAGGCAGGGACCAGGAGTCCCAGCAAATGCTCTCAAGTACGCTGCTGATGACCATTGAATGTGTTGCTTTTTCCTTTCAGAACTCAGGGGCACATGAGGGCCATCCTCCAAGCTTCTCTCCACAGCCTTCCAGCCTCCACCCCCCTTTCTCTGGAACCCAAGCAGACAGCAGTCATGGTGCTGGGGGCAATCCTTGTCCCAAAAGCCCAGGTGTCCAGCAAAAGGTAGGCACCTGGGCAAAAGTTTAAACTTTGCCTCTTCCCTCTTCTGTGGCCTCGTCCTCCAAATGATGAGGCTCAAACTCAGAAATAAATGGGGCACCTGGGTGGCTTAGTTAAGCATCCAACTTTGGCTCGGGTCATGATCTCGTGGTCTATGGGTTCGAGCCCCACGTCGGGCTCTGTGCTGACAGCTGGGAGCCTGGAGCCTGCTTCGGATTCTGTGTCTCCCTCTCTCTCTGACCCTCCCCTACTTGCTCTCCCTCCCCTCAAAAATAAATAAAACATAAACAAATAATAATAAAGGAGCTCCTGGGTGGCTCAGTGAGTTGAGCGTCCGACTTCAACTCAGGTCATGATCCTACGGTTCATGAGTTCGAGCCCCACTTCTGGCTCTGCGCTGACAGCTCGGAGCCTGGAGCCTGCTTCCGATTCTGTGTCTCCCTCTCTCTCTGTCCCTCCCCCATTCTCTCTCTCTCTTTCAAAAATAAATAAACATTTAAAATTAAAAACAATAATAATAAAAATGTCATAAAAGGCAGAAATAAATGACATTTAGATAAAAACAAATCCACTTGAAACAGAGTGAAATGGAGGTACAGATAAAAATTAGGGTGTTCCAGGGAACTATTTCCTGGGGTCATTCTAGAAATCGTAAAGGCTAAAATGAGCATGGTACGTTTGTGAAACAACATGGCAAACCAGTCAGTTTCCATGGAGTTGAGGATTGGAATAGAGGCACATGGGGAAACAGTGGTTGAGAAAGAGGGAGGTTTCTGGATCTGTGGAAAGGTCTAGAAAGGTGCAGAGAATTCGAATCACAGTAAAGTATCTCGGTGGAAAAAGGAAGAGGTGATACACACCAGCAGGTGTAAATCGGGTGGGAGAGAGCCAGGATATGGGAAGTTCCAAGGACTAACATGAGGCGATCAGGAGGCAAACAAGATGGCCGCCATATAGAAGTGCTACCTGTCACAAGTATGGGCAAGGCGTCCTTTGGAGACAGAGAGCTTTGAAATGGCCCAGGCCCTCCATAGAACACTCGCAATACACAAGGCTGGTTCCTGAAAAGATACCCCAACAGTGCCTCCACCTCTCTGCAAATCCACCCAGTTAGGAATGAAATGTCCTGAGGGGGTAAAGTACTCTGGGAATTCCTGGGATGATCCACTTCTTCCTATTGGACTGGACTCTTACTTTATTTCCTTTGCTCCTAACCAAAGAGGGTTTACTCTAGAGGGGAAAGAATCTGTTGGGGCGCCTGGGTGGCTCAGTTGGTCAAGCCTCCGACTTTAGCTCAGGTCATGATCTCACGGTTCGTGGGTTTGAGCCCCGCATTGGGCTCTGTGCTGACAGCTCAGAGCCTGGAGCCTCCTTCAGATTCTGTGTCTTCCTCTCTCTCAGCCCCTCCCCCACTTACACTCTGTCTCTCAAAACTAAAACATAAAAAAATTAGAATCTGCAAGGTTCCCATCCTATCATGCCTTCAGCAATATGTCTCCAGTGATAGGTATTATTAATACATTAGAATTGTTTTCTAAGCCTTGGCTCTATTTTTTCCCCCCTCACATCTACTCTTTTCCCAAAATTTAGCCTGCAGCTTATAAAACAGAAGCAGTCCATTTCTTTTCCTCTGGAAGTTTAAAAGCTTTATTTTTTCATATTATTATTTTAAGAGAATGTATGTCAAGTTGGATAACATACAATGTATACTGTGTGCTCTTGGTTTTGGGGGTAGATCTTGTAATTCATCCCAACAAGTGCCCTCCTCAATGCCCGTCACCCATTTTCCCCTCTCCCCTGCCAGTCAACCCTCAGTTTCTTCTCTGTATTTAAGGAATTCCCTCCCTCTCTGTTCCACACTGGTTTTTCCCCTCCCCTTCCCCATGGTCTTCTAAGTTTCTCAAGTTCCACATATGAATGAAACTATATAATATCTGCCTTTCTCTGACTGACTTATTTCACTCAGCACAATACCCTCCAGTTCCATCCACGTTGCTGCAAATGGCGGGATTTCATTCTTTCTCATCGCCGAGTAGTGTTCCATCGTATAGATAAACCACATCTTCTTCATGCATTCATCCATTAATGGACATTTAGGCTCTTTCCATAATTTGGCTGTTGTTGAAAGCTCAAAGCAGTCCCATCTCTGACCCGTGAGTTGATGATCTTTCTCTGCATCACACTCCCACAGGTGGCTGGTCTGCACTCTTCGGATAAGACAGGGCCAAAGTTTTCAATTCCATCCCCGCCTTTTTCCAAGTCAACTTCGGCCGTTCCAGAGATAACACAGCCTCCATCCTATGAAGATGCAGTAAAGCAGGTAACAAGCAGGTTGCCTAAATGGGCGTTGTTTTCCATTATTGAACTTCGGGGAGTCTTAGATGCTGACTTGGAGGGCATTGGGTGCCCCCGTACCAGGATGGGCAGAGTTTCTAGATGCTAATTGTAGAAGGGTGTTCAATGTACAGTGAAACCTTTCACTGTACATGGAGGGTATGTGAGGCTGAAAGAGAAGAGGTTGGGCTGGGCTTAGTGCCAGTACCAGGTGCCTGGACTTAGTACCAGCTCTGCCAACAGCCATCTGTCACTGCCACTAAGTTCTCAACTTCCCTTATGTGAAATGGGATCCCTATCTACCTTGTAAGGGTTCTTGATAGTGTATCACCGACTACATTGTCTGGACGCAGGGTAGCTACTCAAATATATGAGAAACGTTGTCAGGCTGATACTTTGTAGGTTTCTTGTTAGTTTCAAAATCCAATGATCTTGGCAAAGTAGTGATGACTGTTGTATACTCTACTGTCATTTATGTTGGGAAATTTTCCAAATAAAAAGTAAAAACCAAGGAAAAAGAAGAAGAAAAGCACGAAACGATCTCACATTTCAAACAGTCTGAGCCTGGACGAAGTACCAGATGGCCCTTTGTAGGTGTGCAGCCTAGCAAGGAAGGTCAGTGTCAGCTGCCACGCGCCGGTGTCCCACAGAACCAAATCGGCTTGCAGTTAGGTTTCATTGGACCTCAAGAGTATTTGTAAATGTCAGAAGATTTTATGCAAAAGGCGGGCTTTCTCATTTCGGAAAAGTGAGAGGATCTAACCATATTGGGGACACATTTCTACCAGAGGACAGTTGCCTGAAACAAAGCATCCGCTGCATCTTTGAGCCACAGCATGGCCCCTGCATTCTACTTTGTCTCTCTTCTTCTATATTGGGCTCATTCACATTACCTGCTAGTCCATGTGGGCACCTATTGGCTTCTGGACTGGCAAGGGACTCATTCTTTGAGCAATGCTCCCATCGGCTGTGATTATTGATTCCTCTGCTTATTTCGGAGCGAGCTCTCAGGGGAGTGGGGTACATATGTGCCTCTATTCTCCCCATTTCCTATCCCCTGGTATCTGTAAGTATCAACTGATCCTTTATGGTTTCCAGAGAAAAGAAAAAGATCAAGCAACATGGACTTCCATTGGTAAGACTCTACTGAATAATTCAGATGCGCCATAGGGAAGGGGTGTAGACAGTACGAGCATCAGTAGGTTCCACAAGCCATTGCGGTGCCACACTAGGAAAACATGGCACACTAGGAGCCATGTTCTTGGGCCGCAACCAGAGCACCCAAACAGGAAGCACCCACTCTTCAGAGTGAGAACAAATGGGTATACCATCCGTGGACTAAGATGCTCTGCTTGTGGAATGGAAGCCTCTCAAAAGGCGGACTCACTCTGAGGGACTCTTCTGGGGAGCACTCTGTCTTCTTGTCCCCTTCTCTTCTTGTAGTAAATCGTTTCATTCAGTAGTTTTCCTTTCTGAAATTAACCCTGAGCTTCAGTTGAGCAGTCAGTTACCATCGTGTTCCCGGCAGCATTTTTCACAAACAGTGGAAGCAGTCCAAGCGTCCATCGATGGATGAATGGTTATCCAAAGCATGGCGAATACACACAATTAATGCTAGTCAGGCTTAACAAGGAAAGGGATTCTGACAGGTGTTACAACATGGGTGAGCCCAAAGGACATTATGCTCAGTGAAGTAAACCAGTAACGAAAGGAAACATACTGTGTGAATCCACTTATAGGAGGAGGTATCTAGAGTTGTGAGATTTCTAGGAACAGGATTGAGATTCCCAGGAACGGAAAGCAGAACTAAAGTTGTCAGGGGCTATGGGAGGAGAATGGAGAGTTCATGCTCAGTGAGGAACAGAGTTTCAGTTTGGGAAGAGGAAAAAGTTCTGGAGACAGGTGAGGGTGAAGCTTGTAGAATAATATGACTATTGGGGCACCTGGGTGGCTCCATCGGTTAGGCGGCCAACTCTGGCTCGAGATCCGGTTTGTGGGTTCCAGCCCCGCGTCGGGCTCTGCGCTGATGGCTCAGAGCCTGGAGGCTGCTTTGGATTCTGTGTCTCCCTCTCTCTCTGCCTCTCCCTCACACTCTTTCCCTTGCTGTCTCTCAAAAATAAATGAGCACTGGGGCACCTGGTGGCTCAGTTGGTTAAGCGTCCTACTTTGGCTCAGGTCATGATCTCACGGTTTGTGGGTTCGAGCCCCATGTCAGGCTCTGTGCTGACACGTCAGAGCCTGGAGCCTCCTTTGGATCCTGTCCCCATCTCTCTCGCCCGCCCCCCCCCCATGCTCTGTCTCTTTCTCTCAAAAATAAATAAAGAAAATAAATAAATAATGTGATTGTAAGGTACTCCATGTCACTGGACTCTACTCTTAAAAAATGATGAAGACGGTAAATTTTGTGTTCTGTGTATGTTATCACAATTTGGGAAAAAAAGTACCCTAACCAAACCTAGTTCAAAAACCTATAGTACTATTCCTAATGATTTCCCGCTGAAGAGGGAGCAGCCTTCTAACCTCTCCATTCTCCTCTGCTTAATTTGCAATAGCAAATGACTCGGAGTCAGCAGATGGATGAGCTCTTGGATGTCCTCATTGAAAGTGGAGGTAAGACTGCTCATCTCTTGCCCATAGGAATGCCCAGTACCTGCATGTGATCTAGACAGTGAACCCTTAGGACCAAGGTCGGATGCTTACCAAAAGCCATGAACGGGTAGAATGTCACTGTGCGGGAGCTCCCTGTCCACACTGGAGCAGGGAAAAGAAGGTGCAGTGCATAATTTGCCCCTCTGCCCAAGGAACTTGTTCACCAATCCTTTTACCCTGTTTCTCTATGTGCTTTCTCTCATGACTCCATTTCTCTTGCCACTTCTAATCCCAATCTCCCTATAATAGAGTAGATAAAGCAAGTTTGGTGCCACCTCCTCGAAATGAAATTCAATCCACGATCTCCCACTGGATGGTCTGTTCAGGTGCAGACGTCATGAGCGCTTGCAACAAAAAATCATCAGCGTGTTCTTTTGGCATCCTTTTCAATGGTTCACTTATTAGCTTTTAAAAATTATAGAGTATGTGCTCAGAATCTGTAACCACACAGATGAATAAGATCAGGTAAGGGGAAAAACACCTCTGGTCTGAGCCCTTCAGTAACAACATTGAAAGTTTCAGAGAAGGGTAAGGCACCTGGGTGGCTCCGGTGGCTAAGCGTCCAACTCTTGATTTCGGTTCAGGTCATGAGCTCACAGTTGGTCATGAGATTGAGCCCCTCATCGGACTTCTGGCTCAGCATGGATTCTTGGGATTCTTAGAATTTTCTCGCTCCTTCTCTCTCTGGCCCTCCCCTTCTTGCATGCATGCACGCACTCTCTCTCTCTCAAAATAAATAACCATAAAAAAATAATAAACTTCTGAGGAGTGGCCAGCCGTTGTACTGGCTCAATGCTGCCCCAGACAAATGCTACCTTTATGGAGCTCACAGTCTGGTAAGGAAGATAGAAAATGCGAGAATGAACAGGTACTCTCTCCACTGTGTGTAGCAAGAGTATGAAGGAAAAGATGGGCACAGGCGTATGGATCTTTATTTTTTTTTATATATTTATTTATTTATTTATTTATTTAATGCTTGAAAATATTTTTTTTTACAAATAGTTTATTGTCAAATTAGTTTCCACATAACACTCAGTGCTCATCCCCAAAGTGCCCTCCTCCATGCCCATCCCCCGCTCCCCCCCACATCCATCAGTCCTCAGTTTTTGTCAGCATTCAAGAGTCTCTCATGGTTTGCCTCTCTCCCTTTCCCCCACCATTTCCGCCCTTCTTCTCCCCCTTGTTCCTCCATCAAGTTCCTCCTAATCCTCCTATACGTGCAAACATATGATATTTGTCCTTCTCTGCCTGACTTATTTCTCTCAGCATAACACCCTCAAGGTCCATCCATGTTGCTACACATGGCCAGATTTCATTCTTTCTCATTGCCATGTAGTATTCCATGGTATAGATAAACCACATCTTCTTGATCCGTTCATCTGTTGAGCATATGGATCTTTAAAACTTTTGTGATGGAAAGATAAGAGGGTACTGTCAGACATCCTTATATTTAAGTTTATTTATTTATTTTGAGGGGAGGAGGGGCAGAGAGAGCGGGAGAGAGGAAATCCCAAGCAGGCTCCGCACTATCAGCGCAGAGCCTGATGCGGGGCTCGAACCCACAAACCATGTGACCAAAGTCAGATGTTTAATCGACTGAACCACCCAGGTGCCCCCACCCTTATATTTTTAATGACGTGTATGGCCAGGTCAGCAAAGGTGAGGGTGTAGGAGGGGAGCACAGGAGATTGAAGCACAGAAGAGCAATCATGAATCAATCACAAACGATTGGCGTTTCCTAGAGAAACACAGCAGGATGCTATGCTGTGTTGAGTGCCAGCCGTAGGCTGGTCACCATGAATCTAAAGTGAGACCAGTCTGCTCCATTGTGTCATTTTCTCTTGCAACCAAGATTCATCCAGGTGTGGGGTCTTACCAAGGGGGTATGGTGCATAGCATATATGGGGCGCCTAGATGGCTCAGTCTGTTGAACATCCAACTTTGACTTAGGTCATGATCTCACACTTGGTGAGTTCGAGCCCCCAAATCAGGCTCTTTGCTCCCAGAGCAGAGCCTGCTTCAGATCCTCTGTCCCCCTCTGTCTGTCCCTTCCCCGCTTCTGTTCTTTCTCAAAAATAAATAAATGTTAAAGAAAAAGGAGAATATATATAAGACAATGACTATAATGGTGGATTAGAGAACACAGGCTGAACAGGGAAAGAAGTGAGTGATGGATGGAAAACGTAGTAGAGTCAGTAGATCGGAACAACCCCAAGTGGCCGAGAAACTACTGTCACAAGGTACTTAATATGTGAACTAGAGAGATAGGAGGGGATGGACAGAGAGGAGGAGATTTTGCTTGAGACTGAACTTGTAGCAGGTACAGCTTTGGGGGACGACCAGGCCCAGGGAGTCCAACAGAGTGGGAATGGAGGAATCACTGAAGTTGACAGGGAAAGAGTGTCAAAGCACTGAGAGGCCATGGAACAGTCACTTCTCCAGATGCTGAAGCCACAGGGAAGGACAAGAGTTGAAATGGGAGAGGCAGTGAACTAGGGAATTGAGTTTTCAGTGGCTACGGAAGTGTGGCCAGGAGACTACGGTGGGGACAAGTCTTATATTCTGACTCCGAAGGAAATGAGCCCCCTCTGAGGGTGTAAGGGAAGATGCAGTGTCCTCGGGAGACAGCCAGGTGTCAGTGAAGGAGCAGGTAAAGGAATCTGCTTTGAGAGTTTGTGGATCACTGAGTGGAATTTCCAGAAAGAGAGGGTACAGGGAGAGACCAGAGAGAAGAATTGGGCACACATAGAGCACTTTAGGGATAGGGCCGGGTGATTAGCAGTGACCAGAGAAGTGTGGCCACCTCTTGTGTCCAAGTGTGACTCATTCATTCGAAAGATCCCTACTAGGGGCACCTGGGTGGCTCAGTCAGTTAAGCCTCCAACTTCGGCTCAGGTCATGATCTCACAGTTCGTGAGTTCGAGCCCCACATTGGGCTCTGTGCTGACAGCTCAGAGCCTGGAACCTGCTTTGGATTCTGTATCTCCCTCTCTCTCTGCCGCTCCTCCACCCACACTCTGTCTCTCTCTGTCTCTCAAAAGTGAATAAACCTTGAAACTTTTTAAAACAAAAATAAAGATCCCTACTGTATAGCATCTCCATTGGAAGTAGTGTAACAATTCCCGTTGTGTTTCGCCAACAGAAATGCCAGCTGATGCTAGAGAGGATCATTCCTGTCTTCAGAAAGTCCCCAAGTTACCCGGGTCTTCCCGAAGCCCTAACGCTGCCCTCCCCAAGCCCTCGTCATCAGGCCAACTCTCCTTCGATCACTATGGCACCGACAGCGATGAGCACCTTGAGGTCTTATTAAATTCCCAGAGCCCCTTGGGGAAGGCGGGCGATGTGGCCCTTCTAAAACTAGGGAGCGAAGAGCCTCCTTTCGACGGAATAATGGATGGATTCTCTGGGAAGCCTGCAGAAGACCTCTTTAGTGCGCACGAGATCTTGCCAGGCCCCCTCTCCCCGATGCAAACTCAGTTTTCACCTTCCTCTGCAGACAGCAGTGGGCTGCGGTTAAGCTTCACCGAATCTCCTTGGGAAACCATGGAGTGGCTGGACCTTACGCCACCCAGTTCTACGCCAAGCTTTAGCTCCCTGGGCCCCAGCGGCCCCAGCATCTTTAACATTGATTTCCTGGACGTCACAGATCTCAATTTGAATTCCCCCATGGACCTTCATTTACAGCAGTGGTAGATAACATCTGATGGAGAGGCGTTAAGGGAGACCCATGGGGATTCCGTGGGGGAAAGCACACAACCAAAAACTCTCCTATCATCCAAAAGGAGGAAGAGTTAGGCAAGGAGGAGGAGAAAATTAAAAAGAAACAATGGAGACTCTGTGTCAGTCAATGAGAGCACATAGGAGTCTTTAGATCTATGTAAAATGTAATATTTACCAACATGCAGTAACTGTTCATGATTTCAGCTGTGCGCTCAGATATGTGCTTTCTGAGATCAAGAATGCCAAAAACAAAAAAATGTGTTTCACTGCCTTTTCAAACACCGATGTTTTTGTAGCCCGTGATTTTTCTCAGGCATTGTTTGAGCGTGATCTCACTTCATAAGCTTTTCTCATGAATTTATACTGTGGAAAGGAAATGTAACTTTTTTAGAATCCAGGGAGTATAGCATAACCAGCAAAGTTTCTGGAAGATACACTCAGTGGTGCTGCATCTCAGCACCCCCTTCTCTCTCTTTCCAAACAGAAGTCAGGCCCAACTTCAGTTGGGTACTGGTGGTAGAATAGAGGGACAGAACCAATCCATTCCCAAGGAAGTGGAATTGACTCAGTGTCCCTCGGCCACAAAGCTGCCCCAGAGGGGTGCTTCCAATCCTGGACCCAGGACTCCGTGTAGTCACTGAGAACAACGAGCCTACGTTTGGGCTGCCCAGAATTTCCCTCTTTCTCAACCAATAACCCAGTTGCTTCTGCTGTCCCTGTGGCGATAAGCACCACGAAATAGCCAAGAACCTGAATGCAAATAAAAACGAAACCCCCCTGCCATGGAACATTCCCCAACACAGCCCCCTTGAGTCTCAAAGACTGGAGATGAGCCCATGATCAGATGGGAAGAACATCTCTAGCTTCCGGAAGCCGTAGCAGGATCATTCAGACATTCACGTCTTGTGAGAATGAATACCATGGGTTACTATAATCGGATGACTAATTATGGAGGTCCAACTTTTTTTTAGAGGGATGGTAGGGGGTCCATCCGTTTATCTTTCTCCCACTCCTCTTTTCTTTCACGACACCAATCTTTTCCTGCTCCCCATTTGAAACTCCTTTTTCTGCCCCAACATGGAGAGAAGAGGACTCCTCAGATCGAACAAGCTGCCCTACTCCTAATAAAACCATATTTTAAAAAGCTAAAAATCCAGGCTCTCCCAGAGAACTCATTCTCCATATGCATAATTTGCTACAAAAAGCTGAAAGAATGTCCTTGGGGGGGTAGAGAATGACCCTGGGGTTCTCCATCCCAAAGCTCATTCTACTGTCATTTGATTTACTGCAGTAATCAATTTGGGTGGTTCTGGGGAAATTGGAAATCCTTATATTGTAAAAATAGGTAACGAATGATATTTACAAGGAGAGAGGATTTTTCAGGTCTGGGCGGTGAAAGCAAACACAGTCGCACATCAAAAACGAGGGAAGGAAGGAAGAGGATTTTTCTCGTGTGCGTTCCTCATCATCTTCTGCTTTTGCCGGGAGTTGTTTTCAACTCAAGTGGTGAGGCAGCCTCTTTAAAGCTCACTGTGGCTCCCAACTCACCGTTTTCTAGTGTTGCATGCCTAGAAAGTAGCTCTTGCTGGTTTGGTTGTTTGTTTGTTTGTTGTTGTTGTTGTTTTAATTTAAATCACTAAGGCACTGTGTTCTTCTTTTGTAAAAAAAAAAAAAAAAAATTCACTGTGCACTTATGGAGAAAATAACCAAACGTGATTTTAGACAATGTCTCTTGGATAAACCAAAGATTTAGAAGTCATTCCATTGTTAACTTGTAAACATGTGTGAACATAGAGTGTTTTTGGTGACCGGTACTCTGAAAGCTCCCAGATCTTATGGGGGTGGGGTAGGTGTGCGTATGTGTATAGATATATGCAGATGTATATGTCTGTGCTCATATGTGGGCGGATATACAGGGATATGTATATATCTATACATATATGTGTATTTGTGTGTCTCTTAAAAAGAGGTGACACAGAGTCCTGTACCAAAAGCCTTTAAAGCCTCAGTTTGCTGTGAAATGCTCAGTTGGCCTTTGTCACTACGAGTTCCCGATTAATCAGCTGGACTCGACGTTGCCTCTCTGTGAATGACTAACGGCCCCAGCCCAGTGACTCACAGCCACTTGCTCACCGTGAACACGCTCATCTTGACAAAGAATACAGATGTGAAAAGACAGAACTGCTCCCCCGTTAGTAATTCAGTCTCTCGTAGGAAAGCATCAGAGGGCACGAAAGTCATTTTTACATTCCTCGATCTGCCTTGTGTTTTAAAAGATCCACGTGGTAAATGTTACTTTTCACGTTTCACGTCCGTCATCGGAACCCAAAACCTAGAGGGGGGTAAAAGTCCCCAGTGTTTTCTGTGAAGATGAAGCTATGGGAAGAAAACCCTATTTGCACATTCCTCACGTGTGTGGATCCCTCGGAGGTCGAAGTTTTATTTTGGATCTTGACGAAGCTCGCCGGTCAGTCCATGTTTCGTGTGCCACGTTGTACGATTTGTATGTTCATGTTTTCTCCCTTTGCTGCCTTTGGAAAACACACTCACGGTGTCCCTACTCGGAGGCTCTGGTCTGAGCGTTAATTTTGGTTTCCTTTGGGTATTTCTAGTGGAAGGACGAGACTGAGTCAGGAGGCCACTGTGCTTTGTAAGACTGTGTCTTGTCACGGAGACCTTTTTAGGATATTACTGCCACTGATATACACGCGTCACAGCTGACAAGAGACATTTGCTATTTCTAACCAACATGCTTCACGCAGAGCAGACCCCTGGATTCTCAACACTCTCCCGCAGCCTCCACACACCATATTCCCTGTGTCTCTCCAATAGAGCAGAAGTGAGATACACGGTAGAAAATCAGGGCTAGCTGGGAGACCATCGAAGAAGTTGGCTGTGCCCAGTGGATCAGATAGACCGTGTTAATTCATCTATCTCATCCCAACTCGTCCTGTTGGGAGTGTTTGTTTTCAGTTCTTTTAAACTCTAAGGGCGGCCTCCTTTCTGGGGACCCATGGGGCACGATTGGAAGATGCACAGAAGAGACTTCTGAAGATGGCCACGGTCAAGTTTCCCTCTTAGAGCCTGAACATAACCATGGGTAGTTTTCTCGAGATTCCTGGGGCCCCCGTGGTGAAGCAGACCTGCAGACGGAACGTTGCAGACGCAACCCCGATGTTGCTGCGGCCACGTGGGTTCTAATGGTGATTACCAGCAGGCTCAGAAAGTTCATCTGTGCAAATGCTTTCGTTAAGCCGGTGCTCATCAGTAGTAGCCTTGCTACTAATGGTGTTATTGAGACAACATGAGTTCTGTTATAAGGGAGAGAGAGAGGAAGGAAGGAAGGAAGGAAGGAAGGAAGGAAGAAGGAAAGAGTGGAGGGAAGGAAGGAAAAAGTGTAGGGAGGGAAGGAGAGGAGAGGAAGAAGGGAAGGAAACCAAGAGCGTCTCCACCTGAATAGTCAGGGATCTGTGCACTGATGGCCTTTGCCATTCAAAAACATTTACTTCCAATCTGGAAGAAAACAACACCCTACCCTAAGCATTCAAGACAGTCCTTCTCAAAATATATTTAAACTCCATCAGTTCTTCCAGAAACACATACTGGCCTGGCCGGAAACTCCCGCATCGTTGTCTCACCCAGTGGACAATTCCCTGACATTTTTTTCTTGTCTCTGCGATCCAACAGCGATAGCATAGCGCTTGGCGATCTCTCGGTATCTCCCACCACTAAGCTTTGGTTTTCATTGCTGGATACAGAAGCCCCTTGAAAATCTGGAAAGGGTTAAGGAAACTTCTGTTGTCTTTTTCTCCATTCCCTGTCTTTGACTCTCGTAACAAGCTCTCAATGCGAAAGGGATGCTGGGGGGGAGGGGTGTCCTCGGGGAGCCACCATTCCTTAGGAGGAAAGCACTTAGCCTTTCCCTTCAGGTCTCCATTCCTCACAGTGGGGAGCCCACAAGGTCCGGCACAGAGTGAAGACAGTCTGGGGGTCTTCGTTTCCCTGTAAATCCAGTATAAGCCAGCAGGAGGGGCTCAGATGCTGAATTTGCTAGTTCTTAGATGGATGTGATCTCCAGACACGCAGAGTCCAGGTCCTGAAACAAGAGGGTCCTATGGTTCTGGAGCCGCTTAGGTTGTGTTAAGGAGCTGGGTTTGATTCTAGAACCCACGTTTTCAGAGGACCCCCTGGCTAAGTGGAGTCTATGCGTGAGAAGACGATTTCAAGACAGGAAGATCTGGGAAGAATTTCTCTAGCATCTATCTGCCAGGGACTCACTGGGTTCAGTAACATACAAGTGAGCTCCCTTTTTTTGTAAATTTTTTTTAATGTTTTATTTATTTCTAGGAGAGAGAGACAGCGTGAGTAGGGGAGGGTCAGAGAGAGAGGGAGACACAGAATCGGAAACAGGCTCCAGGCTCTGAGCTGGCTGTCAGCATAGAGCCCGACGCGGGGCTCGAACCCACGAACCATGAGATCATGACCCAAGCAAAAGTCAGACGCTTAACCGACTAAGCCACCCAGGCACCCCTAGTGAGCTCCCTTTTGATTCTAGGGTTTGGTGATTTCCCCAGTGGATCAGGACGAACCAAACTCCTGACCATCTCTTCTGCTTCTTATAACCACCTGCTCCCTTCATGGAGGCTGGTTAATGTGAGTTTCCTCCAGAAATTGTTTCACAGCCCCCAAGTGTCTGTGGAGAGGGGGAGTGTCTTGATGGGGATACTGGATGCTATTCTAGTGTTTTCCAAAGAAAGGGAACCCATACTGCTCCCTGGAGTCCCCCTCCAGCTGGCCTGCAGTGATGAAAGAGGGTGACACATTGCCTGAAGCCCTTCCTTGGTGAAACACAGCAAAGCAATCACGAAACCCAGCACAGGGGTCTCTGCGGGGGCCTGCGTGTTGTTTTCACATTGGTCTCCCTTGCTCAAGTATCCATTTCCGGAAAGAAACGTGTGTTACCAGGAAAAGAA